TAATAATCTCTTGGTATTCATCCATTTGAGTGCTAGTTTTTCGATACTATTCTGAACTGGAGTGCTAGGATACATTGATAACACATCGAAGCTCACCAAAAGGTCATCCTCTCTAACACTGTTGATGTATCAATCTAACGAATTCATATGAATTCTTCATTTACTGTTTCCAATACTAATCCACTTTGTATATAAATCGTGAAATCCTATGCATCACACTTCCCTTATTAGCAATTAATCCTAAAGTAATTGCCTCGTGTATCTTTGAAAGTCCGTAAACTGAAGGTGCCTTAGCATCACTTTGAATAAGTTAATTAATTTTCGATTTCTCTCTTGCTTACACAAACGTTACCCGATTCCTATAATTTGGCCTTAAGACCCTCTGTTGGATCCTCCACTAAAAGTTTTTATGTTTCTAAATCATTTAAATGAATTACCATTTTTCACATATAAAAACCTATCCATTATGCCTACTGCACCACCTATATCTGTCTTTAAAACAAACAGGCTATTTTGGTGCAAATATCTACAGATCTTATTCAAGTCATAAGATTTCCTTGGAATGATTACTTTCTTTTTATGCTTTTCCTAGTCCGTTATAGCATCTTATCTATCAAGTTCATTAATTTAACCTAAACTGAAGATAATAAGCTCATTTTCATAACCAGGCGTGTATTCTACTTTGCGCAATCTAAGTTATAATCAAAAATATATAAATTGGGGTGATGGTGATCGTCAGACCATGATGACTGAGAACAGACGTTACTCTTAATTTTAATTACATTGATTCATCACTGCTGGTTCCGTATGTATACAAATACATAAGGGACATAAAAAGACAGAACCATTCGTGCTTTGAGGTTGATATATGGCTTGAACTGATAAAATCACTTCATACCCCATCAAAGCACTTAGATACGGCATATATACAGCATTTAGAGATGAGCTGGAGAATTTTCTTGACTCGTTAATCTGAATATAAATTTCACCTGAATCGAAAAAGATTGCCTCGGTAACAACCTCAGCAAGGATGTTTCGGTAAAGCCAATTGACAGCTGGTCAAGAGGAATTCGCCCTCGACTTATTGTGGGATAGACTTTTTAATCTCTTTACCAAATAATTACTCGAAATGGGAGTGAACTTAACATTTATGTATACAATCCGAATAGCTTATTTCAAGACGTTTTGCCGGCATCATCAGTAATCCTTACCATTCATAGCACCACATTGCAACTCGCCAAAAGAGACATCTCTTTGAATGTACATAATAGCTTACTTTTGGAATGATTTATTTATTGTTTCTCTGAAACTTTTCAACAATTTTCATTCACTCACTGAGGCCAGATTACTGTGATAAGCAAAAAGTCGTTATCTTGCTCCTTCCATCTAAATAATATTTGCTGTGGCCGATGCGTAGGAGGATCAATGAAATGCTGAGAGGATGCGAGATTTATTGTAATTTTTCTCCTCCGCTTTTGATTATATCATTTCTTCACTTTTTTACTTATTCTTACCCTTAGGTTCCATACGTGCAATCCATGCTCGAGGCTTTGAGTGCCAACCCAGAAGTGATGGAGACATTGATGCTTAGAAATCCGCTTCTTAATCAAAATGATGGTGGCTCTAATGGGATCATGCATCAGCAACTGCGCAACATGATGCCTCAATTGGCTGCGCAGATGAGTCAGCCTGCCTTCCGGCAGATGCTTACTAACCCACGTGCTCTACAGGTTCAACTTAATTTGATATTTCCCTTTGCTTATTTCACTGCTTCATATATAGATTTTCGTATAGTAAACATAGCTGCTAATAATTTTTCACAG